CCGGGAGATGTAAGCCAAACAAACGCTTTCCTCCTCAAGTTGGTAGTGGTCAGTGTGTTTTGTCAGAGGACAAACTAGGACACTGACATACATTTAGTTCATTCTTGCATGTGGAGTGAGGAATTGGTCTAATGTTATCTTTCCCAAACAACTGATAAATGTTGGCTCCACCACCATTAAAACTGGTCATTGTCCAACACTAATGGTTTCAGATGTTTGAGCGCCACGTCTTGAGCCTGTCTCTTTCTTGTTTATTTTTATATTTATGTGCCCAAAATAAAATCTTTCAACATAGAGCCAGGTTTTAATAACTGGTAGAGATAATCTCTTTGCTTGCTTTCCAGTGTTTCCTATTCTTTTCCTTATGAACCTTAGAAGCAACGTATCTAGCTTTTTGTTTTATTGACAATTTTTTTAGATAATATTAGATTGATAACAAAGTGAAGTTATGTCTTAGCAGTGTCTTATGCTTTCTTCTTTTTTAAAATTAGTGATTTGGGGGCTGGAGAGATGGCTCAGGGATTAAAAGCATTGGCTGCTCTTGCAGAGGACCCAGGTTCAATTCCCAGCACCCACATGGTAGCTAACAACCATCAGTAAGTCCAGTTCCAGGGGATCCAATGCCCTCTGCTGACTTCCTCAGGCATTGCACAACACAGGTATACCTACCTACATGTAAGCTATTCACTCATACACATAAAATAAATTAAATTAAATTAATAATTTAAATTTAAAAAATAAAATTAGTGGTTTGCCATTTTGTGCGGCTGTCAGGAAGTCAAGGATTTATATTTGGGTGTAAACTTTCCAGTGCAGCTGTAAATGGGGGGACGCCACCTCTTCTGTAAATAAACCCCCACCCTATGCTCTGTTAGCAAGCCCAATAAACTAGTTAGGCTTAAAAAGAAAAAGAAAAAGAAAAAAAGAACAGAGCTAATGAAAAACATTATTCCACCAAAGTTGACCCCCATGTTGGTAAATCCTTTGGTTTTTGAATTTTTTTTTTTTTTGGTCTTTTTGGGACAGGGTCTCCCTGTGACCCCAGTGGGCCTGGAGCTTGCTGGGTGGACAGAGCTGGCCTCGAACTCACAGAGATCTGCCAGGCTCTGCCTCCCAAGTGCTGGGATTGAGGATGTGTGTCACCATGCCCAGCTTTAGTCTTTGATTTCTTATCCCTCCTTTTCCACCCATAAACTTAATAGTATATATATATATATATTTTTTTTTTAAATGGAACCTGCTTCAAGTTATTTCTGGAAAAAATGTGTTAAAAATTGCCTTTCTTTAGAATAATAAAAATATTTTTTTTTTAAAAATTAGTGATTTGCCTTCACCAGGGCACCAGCCACGTGAGTGGAGAGGTCACGGTCAAAGTGTGTCCTCCACCCAAGCCATCCTAGTAACTGATTGTTTACCAAACAGCAGCTGTGGTTGCCTGCATAAGGTCACACCAACTAAAATTCCAGCATAGAAGGGGAAGGTGCTCTCCAGGTCCCACCACCCTGTAAGAGGAACTGTTGGTGCTTGACGGCTGGAGGAAGAGTATTCCTTTGTGAGCGTGTTCCCAGAGGACGGTTTCCCATGTTCCAGTGGGTAGTCCCTCACCCCTGCCCATGTGAGCAACATTAATTGAATTTAGTGGGCTGCCAAAACAAGAAAAACAAATACGGGGACTGGAACAGTGGCTCAGTGGTTAAGAGCACTGACTGCTCTTGAAGAGAACCCAGGTTCGGTTTCCAGTACCCACATGGCAGCTGACAACCATCTGTAACTCCAGTTCCAGGGATGCCTACACCCTCTTCTGGCATTGTATGAAATTCTCAAGAATGAAGAAAAATAATCATTTAAAGAACATAAGATTTTGATTTACTAACTTGTGTATTCTGTTCACTACCTTAGAGCCTGCTCGGGATCTGTTTCTACGCTTGTTATTTACTTCATTGGGTTTCTTTTTGTTTCCTCTCTTGTTTTCAATCTTGTTTGTTTACTTGTTTTCAATTGGAAGTTTAGTTTATTTATTTTTACTGTTCTCTTTTTATTGGCATGTACATTTGCTACTCTGAATTTGTTACTAATCACAACTTTAAAATGATGCTACTAATTATATATATATATAATTTTTCATCATCATTAATTTTTAGGGAAACTGAAATTTCTATTTATATTCTGAACTTTATCTTTTTTAAAAATATTTTATTATTTTTACGTGTTTGCATGTATTGCCTGCATGTAGGTAAGTGCACCTGTGTCGTGCAATGCCCATGGAAGACAGAGAGGCTGTTGGATGCCCTGGAACTGGAGTTACGGACAGTTGTTAGCTGCCATGTGGGTGCTGGGATTTGAACCCGGGTCTTCTGCAAAAACAACCAGTGTTCTTAACCGCTGAGCCATCTCTCCAGCCCTGAACTTTGTCTTAATATTGTATAATGGAAGGGTTTTTAAAATTCCCAAGTGAGTCATTCTACTTTATTGGACTGAAAATGGCTATATATCCTCTACACTTCTATTGAGAGATAGGGTCTACTTACCTTCCCCCTGACTCTGACCTGGCTTGTAGCTTCTTAGCGCTACAGAATAGATTGCTCTGTGCCTACCTTTTAAGAAGCCTGTCACTTTCTACTTATCTCATTGGTCCCTGAACCAATGAGGCCTTACAACTGTACAGAGAAGGGTGCCTAGCCTCTCTCTATGCCTACAAGGACACCAGATTATGAGTGGACAGATCAACCTCAAAGTGCGTTCCTGCCCCAGCCATCCCTGATGATGCCACGTGGATCGAAATAAACAACTTACAGTACTCTTGTATGAAAGTATTAAAAAATAACCTGGCATGATGGAGCAAACCTTTAATACCACCACTCAGGAGGCAGAGGCAGACAAATCTCTATGAGACTGAAGGCAGCCTGGTCTACATAATGAGTTCCAGGCCAGCTGTGGCTATAGGAAGACACTGTCACAGACTCACATGTACACACACGCACACACACCAAACCAAAACAATGACACAAAATATTTTTCTTTATTTTCTTTCTGAGACAGGGTCTCCCTGTAGCCCCAGCTGACCTGGAACTCACTATGTAGACCAGGCTGGCCTTGAACTCACAGAGATCCACCTGCCTCTGCCTCCTGAGTTCTGGGATTAAAGGTGCATGCCACCATGCCCAGCAACACAAAATACTCTTAAGAAAATTGTTTTAAAAGAGGGAAATCACTGTTCTCCCTATATAAAGGACAACTTAACCATACAGAAAATTTTCATCTCGATTAAATCCTACGCACGTATAAAAAAATCACAGTGAGACTCATTAATGTTTGTTAATTTTTAAAAAGAAAATCTGAGTTTGCATTTCTGTACTTGATTTTTAGTACCTTGTTTTCACTGCTGTTTTGAAGAATGCTGATGGCAACCTGATTTATTTAGCCTTATTATTAATTAATCTTTTTGCCTGGAGGCCCTGCGAATATTTTGTCTCTAAAGACTAGTAGTTTTAATCTTTCTGTTCCATCTTGTTTGCTTTTTAATTTTGATTTTTGTCCATTTCAGTTTTAGGAAGGTAGTTGCTTTGTTCTTTTTGTTTCAAAGTGTCTTAATTTTTTTCAGTTTTTCGTTTTATTATCTGGTCTATAATTTGTACATAATGTCCTCTGGTTCTCACGGAATTCCTTACATAGCAGGTCATTACCTTTCTGCTTTCCTTTACCTCCATACTTAGTTGTCGTCCTCCCACACTGTTGAATATAATATTTATATGTTGTGCTTTTAGTCTGGACCTAGAGCTAAATGTATTGAGTTGTCCACGTCCCAATATTTTGCTTGACTTCTCTGCTTGGTCCCTTCCTTTCTCCCACGAGGGCAACCGGTCTCCTCTAGCTCCTTCTCTCCCAGAGAAGAGCTTTGCAGGTTCTCCCTCACATCTCTTCCTTGAGGACAGACTATGAAGTGCCACGTCTCAGGTCCTTGCCCTTACGTGACTGCTTGTATGCCTTCTGGGGGCAGTTTCATCTGCTTAGAGCTCACTCTCTGCTCTCCTCTCTTCTGTCTGGCAGACTCCGAAGCCCTCTTTCTCCCACTCTCTCCTCAGGAGGGTGTAACTGTAGTAGACGCTCTAGCGTCTGCTAGAATTGTGCTTCATTAAATTTCTTAAATCATTTTTTTTGCAATTTTCAGACAATATAATTTGATGGTATTTAGCTCCCCTCCCCTACCCACATCTTCCCTTATTGCACCTTCCCCACCCAAGTTAATGTACTTTATTCAATATATAATAACACCTACAGAGTCTAATTGTGTCTCCAAATGTCCTTCAGTGTGAGTGCATCAACTGGTGTGTGATTCACCTACCAAGAGTCCTATGCTTGAAATAGACTGTCTGCGCCCCTCCCATCAGCCATCTGTGTAGGTCATGTGTGGTTATATTTGTATTTTGGTTAGACTGGCAAGGTGTTTGTCTGTTTGTTTGTGGCAGATGCATGGAGATACTGTGATACTGAGCACCTGCTGGTACCGTATAGACCTGCTCTCTTGCTTCTTGAGATAGTTTCTCTTCCCAAGAGGGACCACGAAGATTATAATAAGGAACTCAGAACCAGTAGATATCTTTAAAATTCCTCTAGGGATTTAACTCCATACTAGGGTCATGATGTTAAAAACTCAGGGAACTGGATAAAACAGAACAACTAACATTTAATAAGTGGAATGTTACAGTAATGGTAACAATATGAAAGTTGTCGCTTTTCTGTAAGATCTTAGCTGTACCTGTGAACTGCACTAAAAGAGTTCATAAATATTTCTTATCTCCTAAATAAAGTCATCAACTCTGCACCCTATACCAAAGACAGGGAAGATGGTACAACTTCAATTCACTTACGACATTAATTGCATAAAATGGACAACTTGAAAATATTCATTAATTGTATAACCTTTTTCACTTCAACAAATCAAGAGTCAGGAGTTTATAAGCAAAATCAATTTTATTATGTATCAAACAAAGAAAGGACAGTTCATCTACTGGCATATACTTAAACTGATTCTGTACTTTGGCTATCATGACTAACACTCCATCACCAGGAGAGAACAGGGATCAAGTTCGGCTTGCACGCTTTGCCTGCTGAGACATCTCACTGGCCCTCGTTATAATCATTTTTAATGGCCACAAATGTCATCTATATATCAGTTAGACTTCTCTCTACAATGTTTTCAGTAACAATGATAAACAAGCTCTTACTCAACGCATTCTGTGCTAAGCACTCCAATTCCAGCCTTCCTTTCCCACTTGGGAAACATACTCACAAGCACCAGGGAGCAGCATCACTGGGATGACAGGGGAACCCCTTAAGAAGTGTCTTCACAAAGCAGAGAGCCCACAACTCAGTACTTTCAGCATCGCACCTCGCGTGCCAGTCCCACACTAAGCAATAACGAAGGTATTTTCATTGAGGGTCCTGTCCTCCAAATCCCCAAAGAGCCTTTCCCCATGGGTCAAAATAGGTTCAGACTTGATTTTGATTTTTAAAGGAAGTCAGTAATTATCTATTCTGATGGTCCAGGTCTCTTGTCTTGACAAATTGCCTCTGTGTAATTTGGGCACCTCTCCATATTCACCACTTGTCTCAGAAGTCTGTAACACCCTCTCACAGTTATAGAATTTCCACTATGGTAGTAGTACCTTTAAGCTAATATTTATCTAAACCTTTTAAATATGTAACAACAAAATTGCATGATATCAACAGCACAGTACAGAAATGAAAATTTTGACTTTTAATTTAAAATAAGTTGATCTAACATAAATTGAAGCTAAACAAAATTATCTGTAAAAATTAATTTTTAAAGACCTAAGAATGGGTGCTGAAGAGATGCCTCAGGAGCTAAGAATGCTTGCTGCTCTTCCAGAGGACCTGAGTTGGGTTCCTAGTACTCATGTCTGGGAGCTCACAACCGCCAGTAATTCCAGCTCCAGAGGACCCATGCCTCTGGCCTCCACTAGCACTGTTTTCACGTGTGCGCACACACACATATATATACACACACACAATTAAAAATAAATCTTTTAAAAAAATCTTAGCAACAAATACTAAGCTGTTAGATCCTGAAATAATGCTCTCCGTGATGAAAGCACCAAAGACATGCAGGGGAGGAGAAGGGGAAGGGAAGGGAAGAAAAGGAGAGAACTACAGAAGGAGGGGGAATTTCAGAGTCTGAGCAAACTGTCCATCCACTCTAGTCTTCTGTGTGCAGATGCCTAAACTAAACTTAGCTTCTCTTTTTTATTAAGGGATATTTAGGATTAATAACTTACCCTCTGGCTATTTATATTGTTTCTAGGATATTAGAAGTCAACATGTGTCTTACGCAAAATATGTTTTGTTAGAACTTGCTTCTCAGAATCTTTCAGGGCTCATGACACACCCAGTCTATACTTCAAAATCTCCACTCTAAAAAGAATATGAAGATTTGTATAAGGACTACTATCACAGCTCTCTTCCCTGTGTACAGATGGCTCAGAACACTGGTGAGAAGTCCAGCCATGCCAAGGGACACCTGAGGGAACCCGAGAAAAGATGGGTGAGCCTGTAGACAGGAGTCACTAGAACAGAACACCATGCTTCTCCAGGAGCAGTCAGGAGAGAAGGGCACATCCAGCCCAGGTGCCCTCAGGTGAGAAGGGCCCCCCATCCAGGCCAGGTGCCCTCACGTGAGACGGTCCCACCATCCAGGTCAGGTGCCCTCAGATGAGAAGGGCCCACCATCCAGGCCAGGTGCCTTCAGGAGAGAAGGGCCCCCCATCCAGGCCAGGTGCCCTGTAGGACACAGCAATGAGAAGATAGGCATCATTGGCATTCCTGGAGAAACCTTGCAAGAATTGAACTGCATTGGAGGACTAACAGTGCCCAGCAGAGCAATCAAGAGGGACGATGAGAGTGGGCCCAGATGTGGATCTGGGACAACGATGTGAGCAGAGAAGTTGACAGGGAGTGGCCAGACTTGATTGTAGACAGTGGCACATGGATAAAAGTCAGTGAAAGCATACTTGGCAAACCTGAAGGTCGGCCGCTCAGTGGGTGGTCAAAATGACCTCGTAGTAGACATTGTCTGTAACCTTGGTGCTGAGGAATTGGTGAGTGGGTCTGGCCAACCTTAACTGGACGTACCACATCAGCTCACGTGGAACAGTGAAAGGCATAGGGCACGCTGGGTACACTTGGAAAAGTGCTCTCACGTGGGGATGTGAGGAGACTTCAGTGGACTTGGAAGCAGGCTTGGAGGTGCTTCGTGGCAGAGTAAAGGTCAGCCAGAACACGAGAGGACAATATGGAGGACTCAGAGCTAGGCAAAATGTGTGAAGACACAAACATACACTAGAGATGGTGTCATAAGCACAGGAGCCTGATCTTAAAGGTGGTCCAAACAAGACAAAACTTCAAATCCTTTCCACCTTAGGTGGCTGACAAGCACGGCGGAGGCTCTAGGTCTTTCCAGAAGGTATGGTGAATGGTGGCAGAGGTGACCTAAGAAGCTTGCCCGGAAATACACCAGGAAAGGGTTTGCCAGGTAGCGATGTAGTCAAGATTGGTAAAGTAGTCTATACAATCATCCCCAGCATATTACAGCAATGCTAGTAATGGACATGTCTTCCAGTAGGTGGAAAAGTCAGTGTTAACTTCCAAGGACATGAACCAGTTGAGGGCCATCATCACACTGATGGGATGTGTCTGTGAGGCAAAGGCATGGAAGTTCTCCTGCATGAAGCAGATCTTTGTGCAATAGAGTCAGGGCTAGAAGAGTGTTATATAAGCCCTAGCTTGTTTGGGGGATCTCTGCATGATGCTCTGTCTTGTGCGGACGGCAGCTGTGAAAACTCACAGCACTTGCCCCAGTGCCCCGGGTGCTGTCTTCCTTCCTCGGATGTTTGCAGACACTTTCAGCCCTTGACTTATGGAGGCTCATGCTGGGTTTCTATTTATCAGGCAAAGAACAGCCACAGTAGCAGTGCACAGGCACCTCTCTGTGCCAAGGGCCCTGGATAAGCTTCATAGCATCCTTAAGCAATGAATTCATGTTGCCCTCTTCAGTGATAGCTACCAACTGCTTTGTCTTTTGACCCATGGATTAGAATTTGGAATGCACAGCACAGCCAAGCGCTGCTTCTCTCTCCTAGTCTTCTGCATCAGGTCTTTGAACGGGCTTGAATTGCTGCCTAGATCAAGAGTCTGTGGGTTTCTTGGTATCCTTATCCAATGGATGACTGCCAATACCTATGACCTGGCCAGTGGCAACTGAGCAAACTCAGAGCAGTCAATCTGCCTGGCACAGAGACTTGATCATCTTGCTCATGGGCTGCTACCACCTATCCCCAGCACGTGTCACAGGGGTTGGCACACCCCTTAAGGGGCCACACTGCCTCACTGATGCAGTACCTAGAGGGACAGAGGGGGCTGCAGTCATGCCTTTCGGTGATTTTGTGACTTTACTAGTGGTTCTAATCCCTGTGTCTGTGGAGAACATGTAATTCTCCCATTAATGGACAAAAATGCATCTCACATGCACCAGAACTATAAAACCTCAGCAATAATACTCCAGTCTATAACCTTCAGTTTTAAAATTCATCTTAGATTCTACACTTGACCGGGAACACAGCAGCTGTTTTTCTGAGTCATCATTGTGCCTTCGCATCCAGAGCTCTCCTATACTCTGTGACCTTGGTGACAGGGTCTCAAATCGGATATATGTCTCTTTTGCCAAATCATCTTCCCAGAATGATTCTGACATACATTGCAGTTTGCAGACTTTATACAATAAAAAGCAAATTAATGGCAAGACAACAACACAGGCAGAGCTGGTCACCACGACAAGGAAAGACCACTGTGAGCTGCGTTCTTCTGTTCTGTTGGTAGAAAAGGTGATACACTGGTCCTTCTGGGGAGCCATTCCTTTTGGACAGACACATGCCACATACTGCCTGCCAGTCTCCAGACCATCTATGGTTACTTGGTTCTTCCTGGAGTCTACATTCAACAGCAGCAGGTCCTCCTCACCATACTTGGCATACAACACGGTCACCACAGACTCACGAGTGGCGTTGATGGTGTTCCATGTCAGAGTCACACTCCCTTCAGTTTCACCAGCCACTCTGAGGTCTTCTGTTGTGAAGTTCATTTTCATAGGTGCTGCTTGACCCAGCAATACCAACTCCTCTTTCTTACTTGCACTGACTGGAGGAAACTTACTTCCATTCATCACCACCTTTGCACTGGTTTTCCCACCTTGGTGGAGCTGGACTGACCGGTGGCTAGTCCTGATGGTGCTTGCTGACGTGCCAGTTCTTAGAATTGAGGTTGGAGATGAAACCGAGAAGAAAGGCGACAAAGAAAAGGAAGCGGTGGAAGGCAGAGGCAACGTAGGAGCAGAAACAGAGGTAGAGGACACGAGAAGGGAGGAGGAGGACGAGACTCGGGGAGGTGACGATGAAGTAAGTAGAGGTGTGGGTCTTCCAGATCCTGGGTGGGGCCCCTGCTCAGGGTGCTCTCCAGTGCTTCTCTCTGATGTATCTGATGTCATAGTGGTTGTAGCAACACCAGCCACTGTCACAGTTACCACAGCCTCTGACACCCCAGCCAGATTTTTGGCTTGACACTTGAAATCCCCAGCATCCTTGTAGGAAATCCCTGTCAAGCTTATGATGGACCATCTCACTCCTTCTCTTGGAGACTCCTGAATCACTAGAAGAAAAAAATGTATGCTCTATGAGGAAAGAGGGTATACTGGAACAATCATGCCAACTGGAAAGGAGACAACTGTCCGCTGTGCTGTGCTATCAGTGTCCCCTCACACAAGCCAGGGGAAGGGGCACTTTTTAAGTTTTGCTGGCTGGTGATGGTTCTGCAACTTGCTCACGTGTACTCTCAGACCTGCTGAGTGCTGCAGGGTCTATGTGGAGAGTGATGCTTTAAAGGCATGTGGAGGTGGAACCAGGAGACGCAGGTCTTAGTCAACCTTTGTCTCCTAAACAGTCTGTAGCTGTAGACAAGTTAATTGAAGGTTTTAGATCTGTGTTTCTGCATTTATAAAGTAAGAGGATAAGACGAAATGGTCTTACCAGTCCCTTCTAATTTTAACTGCGAATCTATAAAATGTTTATCATAAGACTTCAGCTATTTTTCAAGATTTGTTGTTTGTTTGCTTCTTTTTCTTTGTTTTTGTTTTTGTTTTGTGAGACGGTCTTCCTTGCAGGCCCAGCTAGCCTGGAATTCACTATGTAGATCAGAGATCCACCTACCTCTGCCTCTCAAGTGCTGTGTACACTCAACTAAGATTTTTTTTTCATTGTAATAAATGTACCTATCCATATAGCTAGAAAGTAAAAAAGGTCATTTTCTGGCATAGGGGAAATCTCTTTCACTCTAAATCATTCATTTCCTATTAAACTTAGAGAAACTAACAAATCATACATTGTTTTGTTTACAGAGTAATATATAGAAATAGAAAGCTGAAATATTTCTTTACTAAACACTAAAATTTGATCTGGAATCAAGACAAAAAAAATGTCTGAAGAATAATGTATAAACCAGCAGGCCACAAGTGAACTCACTAGCTTAAACTGTGGGCAACTTTCCAGCAATCTCTAAGAATATTAGGCCTTAACTTCTTTTAGTCCATCAAGTTTATTTTTTTCAGCCTCATAATTTAATTTTGAAGCATTTCAAGAATACATTCCTCTACTTATCCGACTGTCTCTGATGAAATGGGCCAAAGCCTGAACTTAACTCTCATAGGCTTGAAAAGCCTAAATAGTCAATATTTCTAAAAATTATACTTTTGCCCTATAATAAGAGTTCCATGTAATTTATTATTTAAATAGTTATTCAAAACTTGTGTGAAAGTCTTTTTTTTTTCTTTTTGAGACAGGATCTCTTTGTAGTCCCAGCTGCCTAGAACTCACTTGTGGAAACCAGACCAGCCTCAAACTCACAGAGATCTGCCTGCCTCTGCCTCCCAAAGGACTAAAGGCATGCGCCGCCATGCCCAGTGTATCAAAGTCTTTTAAAAATGCTTTCAAGGTTTTGCACTTTGAAGTGAATGTATACAGGATGACAGAGCAAGATAAAGGCCTAACCCCATCTTTCATTTACTGCAGCATGTAATTTCTACCTAAGAAAAAATTAGCTGAGGAAAAAATTAATCAATGAAATATACTCTTGAAATCCCTTGTGTCTAGGAAACTGGGGATATGGTACAGAGATAGAACACTTGCCCAGCCCTGGGTTTGATCCCAAACACTGAAAAACTTTTTTTTTTATTTGTGGCCTGAAGATATAGTTTGGCGGTGGAACACTTGCCTAGCATGCATTAGGTCATGGCTTCAATCACCACCACTAAAAATAAAAACAAAATTTAAAAGAACTATATCTAAGTCTTGCATCCAATAGTCTTGGTAGGTTTTATTAGAATTAATCAGCTGTGTAAAAGTTACACAAAAATATGAAATGACATTCAGAGTTTTGTAGACTTGTTTCATGAAGAAAATACCTGTATAATTAACTGACGAGCTGTCAGATCTGGTCCACATGAGCTGTGGGGTAGGGTAGCCAGTGGCATCACAGCGCAGCAGGACATTACTGCCCAGAGCAGATGTGATTTGGGTAGCTGAGGTCATCACCAATGGCTTCAGACACCGTTCCAACACAGCCCTCTGAAACAAAATCCCTGCAAGGCGCTGGGGTTCACTACAGACCAACAGCGGGTCCAGAAGCACCACCACAGGGTCAGCAACCTTCGACAGCTTGATCACTTTGGATATGTGACAGTCGCAGAACCAAGGGTTATCCTGCAAACCTGCAACAGAGAAGTGCAGAAGGGCAGTGAAGATCATTCTGATGAATTCAGTTGGCACCATTGCTTCTCAGGAAAGAAGGTTGCCACATGGTAGCCCTGACAAATGAGGTTCTGTGAGGGACAAAACACACCCATCTCTATTTTGGTTTTGCTGTAGAATCCAGCAACTTCAATGCAAGTATCTGCCGTTATAATTGTTAATGATTATAGCTAGTATCTTCTGAACTCTGCTCTAAACATTAACCTTTATTATTTCATTTAATTCCAACAGTCTTGTGAAGAAGAAAGTGTGTTGTTGTTGCTGTTATTATTCCCATTTTAAAGATCTGGAAGCTAAGATACAGAGACGCTAAAATCTTCACCAATGCCACATAATCAGTATTAGAGCCAAGATGTGAACCCACATACCACAGAATGCCATAAATACAAGGGTAGAGATACTCTATAGCTGGGAGTGGTATCACACGCCTTTAGTCCCAGGCAGAAGCAGGCAGATCTCTATGAGTTCAAGGCCAGGCTGGTCTACATAGTGAGTTCCAGGCCAGCTGGGGCTACAGGGAGACCCTGTCTCAAAAAGACCAAGGATAGAGATATTCCTAGAGTGCTCAGAAAGTGCTCCCAGGTTATCACAGGGCGCTGAAAGCTGCTCACTTAGCCTGGAATGTGTCATGGTTTCTGTTACTCGAAGGTATGTTGAGGTAAAACAAGTTTAGTGTATAAAATCAGCAGGAGATAAGGTCAGAAAGTGACTCTGCGTAAGTGCCGTAAGCGGTGGTCACCGAGGTGCTTTGCCCGAATCTCAATTCAAGAGGCAACACGTGAGAAAGCGCAGTAGCCAAAGGCTTCCAACCCCAGTACCTTCAGGCTCTCCCTCAACCTCGGGAACTATGCGTAGAAAGAACTCTTTTGAACTTTAAGAAGCCTGTTAGAGCTGAAAGGAAGGTGAGTTAAAAGTGACAGAAAGCTTAGTGACACTGTCACCCTGCTAAGCATGCAAAGTAGAAAACATGCTTAATAGAATGCGTTCTGTACTGATGCCCACGCGGAACATTGAAAAGGCTGCTGGGGTGCTTCTTGCTGGTCAAAGGAAACACGGCTACAATCATTATGTATAAAGGCATCAAAATTCTTGGGCTCATTCCCAGCCTCTGCAAAATTATTAAATTAAGAAAGGCATGCAGAGCAAAAACCAAATCCACAGTGAGACCATGAAAGTCTCAGAAGCATCTTCAGATCGTGTGGTTGGGAAAGTGTCTCTCCGTGGATCTTAAAGATGATGCCTGAAACAGCCTCGCAGAGAGGTAGAGGCTTTCTGAGGTAGAGACTGGTTTTTATGGCTTTTCCTGATGGCATGGGATATACACTGCGAAGAAAGCATAGGACTGCAATTTAAAAATTCTACCTGGGGCTGGAGAGAGGGCTCAGCAGTTAAGAACACTGGTTGTTCCTGCAAAAGACCTGGGTTCGAATCCCAGCACCCACATGGCAGCTAACAACTGTCTGTAACTCCAGTTCCAGGGGATCCAACAGCCTCTCTGTCCTCTGTGGGCATTGCGTGTCACAGGTGCACTTACCTACATGAAGGCAATACACACATACAGAAGAAATAAAAATAATAAAATGTTAAAAGATAAAATTCTACCCATTGTACACATATAACTGCTCATTTGTAGGTGTGTGCTTACGCTTACCAGTATTCTAACAGCTGGTCATGAGGACTCATTTTTCTGCCAGGATTGGTTACTTTTTAATCTCTTATGTGAGAAGTTTGTTTTTTCTCCCATGGGGGAATAACCTTGAACTTTTCCCTCTTATATTAAATCTTGTGACTAGTTCTCTAATTAATGTTCATTTGAACTCTGTTAACTTAAATATTGGCCCTTCACCCAGTTTCTTGCCATAAGTCGGCTTTCTAGTTTACTCTCATATAGAATATCTGAATATAACTCTGAAACATAAAATCTGGGCTGAAATCCCAATTCTGGAAAGCTCCATATTAGATAGTGTGAAACGAGCTCTCTCAGGCTCCTCTGAAGAATGGCAGTGATTCCTTCACAGATTTATATGGAAATTTAATTTAATAACCATACAAACTACCTGACAATGGATGATTAATGATTAAAATTCTGTAAACTTTAACAAGTCTTGCTAAACATAATGCTTTAAACCTATTATTAATGTAACAATTATTCAAATTATGAATAAACAACAAATTAAAAAGATTGTTGATAAATACAGATTCTCTCTTCTCTAATCTGATTTAATTATTGTTGATAGAAATCAAACTTACATAATCAGAACCTCAGCTGAAAAACAAAGTGATAAAATAGTGAAATGCCTAAAACAATGAAGTACGTCAGCAGGCATTCAACTCATTTCACCTCCAGGTGCCACGTTCGATATTTGTTCATTATTGGACATAGCAATACTAAGGCCGATTTAAATGTAGTGGGGAGGAAGGGTGGAAACTGGTAGGAAATGACATCTTCACCAGCTCTGCTGTGCCCAGGTTCTGAATGAGGCAGTGAGGCCTGATCTTGCTGCCTTGCTGAGCCTCAGTTTTCTCATCTGTAAAATGAGAGAGCTGAGTAATTCTAGAACTTTCTCCAGCAATGTTTTATCGGACTATAAAAAAAAAGTTACCATAAATTAGAATAAATTTAAAGTGGATCAGCAAACTGACATTGAAATCCATTATCAGTAAGTAGAAAGCAGAAAAATATAGTAGAATGCCTAATATGGAACATTTTTCACCTACTGATTGAGGTATGAGAGGTTCGCATTTAAAAAGCAAGTAGTTCTAGTCTCATTTCCATTGCTGTGATAAATCACCCTGACCAAAATTGCCTGAGGGAGGAAGGGTTCATTTGGATTAGAAGTCCAGGTTACAGGGCTGGAGAGATGGCTCAGGGTTAAGAGCACTGGCTGCTCTTGCGGAGGACCCAGGTTCTATGCCCACATCCCGCATGTCTGCTAAAGATAATCTGTAACTCCAGGGCCAGGAGATCCAATGCCCTCTTCTGACTGCCATAGGAATTGCATGACACAGGTACACCTACATACATACAGGCAGTACACTCATACACAAAATAAAAATGATTCATAAAACATTTTTTAAAATAATTCAGGTTACCGCCCATTATTGCAAGATGGAATCTTAAAACCATATCCACAATCAAGAACAAAGAGAATAAATACAATGGATCCTGTCACTATTGTTTCTTATTATGATTTTTCCTTAGTCTTGATAATTTCAGACATCTATAAGATGAACTACGATCATGTCTACCTCCCTCCCATTTTCTCTACTCTTAGAGAATGGTACTACCCACATTCAGGGCGGGTCCTCTCACCTCAGTGAGCAGCAGTCAAGGCAATCCCCAGACATGCCCGGAAGGCCTACATGGTCTAGCTGCTCCCTCATTGGGAGTCTCCTCCCAGGTGGTTTTAGGTTGTAGCAAGTTGACATTTTTAAAAATATTTTATTATTTTTATTTTGTGTGAGTATATTGCCTGCATGTATGTCAGTGCACCCATGTCATGCAATGCCTGTGGAGGTCAGAAGACGGTGTTGGATCCCGTGGAACTGGAGTTACAGTTGTTAGCCACCATGTGGGTGCTGGGAATTGAACGTGGGTCCTCTGCAAGAGCAACCTGTGCTCTTAGCCACTATCTCTCCAGTCCCCATCAATTTGACATTTAATGCTAACCCAGCACTTGGGAGGCAGAGGCAGGCAGAGCTCTGTGAGTTCAAGGCTAGCCTGGTCTACATAGTGAGTTCCGGGACAGCTGGGGCTACAAGGAGACCCTGTCTCAAAAAAGACAAATAGAAAAAGCCAACAAATTTTAGAGTTTTCTAGATCTATCTTACATGATGTAGCATATTTAAAATGTGAATTTTATGTGACATGAAACTAGTTTATTAACTTTGACTGAAATCCAAGCTAAAGTACCAAATTAGCATTTTATAAAGAAATAGAGCTGATTTCAGTCATTTAAATGGATGTAGGAGAGAATTAGTATGGTTTTATCTCTTTTTAAAAATTTTATATTTATTATTTTCTTTCTTTTTTTTTCTTTTTCTTTTTTTTTTTTGTCTTTTATGAGACAGGGTCTCTCTGTAGCCCCAGCTGTCCTGGAACTCACTATGTAGACCAGGCTGGCCTTGAACTCACAGAGATCTGCCTGCCTCTGCCTCCCGAGTGCTGGGATTAAAGGCGTGCACCACCACACCCGGCTATTATTTTTATTTTTATGTATGAGTGTATTGCCTGCATGAATGTAAGTGCACCTGGGTCATGCAATGCCTGTGGAGGTCAGAAGAGGGTATTGGATCCCCTGGAACTGGAGTTACAGACAGTTGTTAGCTTCCATGTGCGTACTGGGAATCAAACCCAGGTCCTCTGCAAGAGCAGCCAGTGCTCTTAACTGCTGAGCCATCTCTCCAGCCCCTGGTTTTAATCTCTTAACAGCTCAGTTCATTTTAGTAGTTTTCTTTATCTCTTACACATACTTTCGCATTAATGATTTTCAAACCATTTATTATTTTACCTTACATACACTTAAACATGATGAAGAATTATATATTTAGAGAGAAGATGACAGATTAGAGACACCAAGCACATCCCTGAATGACCATAAGGATCGAAACAACAGGTGTGTGGCTACAGAGAGAAGTTTGTGACATAGAAAGGCATGAGGATACTTCAGTCAATAGCAGAATCCAGAACACTGAACTTCAGGTTTGTAAGACAGAGAACCCAATTATCTGCTGCTAAGCAACACTACAGGAAATGAAGAGAATCTCCCTTGATGGAGGCTTAAGCAAAAGAGAAAAGGAAGCCTTCAGAGAACCACTGTCATGGAATCTGGCACTTGCAAAAATAGTTTACAATGGGAGACACCCCTCCACCCCGCCATCCATGCAGCAAGCATGCTGAAAGGGGCTGCCCTGCACTCCCTGGCTTGCTCACCGGTGGCATGGTGAGGAACTATCTTAA